AACTCACCCTAGGGCTCCTGCGAGGTGACTGGACAGCTGGGACCTGCGGGGTACAATACCAATTGATCTCATAGCTGGCCCCCAGTTTCGCCCGCCTACTCACCCACAACACCCTCCTTAGCCTTTACCTCTACAGCATGGGCCACGATCCTCTTTAAAACGATGGGCTTTCTGATTGCAGCCGCACTGGGTGTCTGGAGAAGAGGGATGAACGTGAGCTCAACATTAGGTGAGGGGCCACAAGGGGAGGAAGTGAGAAACCTGGGGCTCACCTTCGGCCAGATTTCAGGGAGGATGCTCGGGAGTTCAGAGCCTGATTTCCGCTGGGACCTCCGCAGAGGCTTAGTAGGAGATGGGGCCCTTGGCCCTGGAAAGAGAAAAAAGTTAAGTGGTAGAGGAGGACTCTAGACCTTAGAGTCCAGAGAACAGGTTCTAGAGACAGCGAGAAAATTCCCAAACAAGCCCTTCTAAGGGCGCCTCCTCTGGAGGCAGCAGCGGGAGGGAAGGGCAATCTTTCACAGGACTGCGTCCCCCAAACGGCTGGACCTCACGTCTCCCGCGTGCCCTCCGCTCACCGGAGCGCTGAGCGGCTCCTCCGGACCGCGTTCGCCTCCCAGACATAACTAAGCTCGGTCTCGAGCTCCTCCAGCGCCGCCGCCCCGGGCGCGCGCCAACGGGGAAGGCCACTCGCTGCAAAAAACTTTCGAATTACCCGCCCTGCGGAGAAGGAAGCGGAAGTGACGTAGGGACAGAGGTCCGCGGCGCTCGGGCCCCCTCTCTTTTCCACCGGTCTTCACGTCTAGCGTCAGCGGAGGCGTGGCCCAGGGGTGCGATGGCGTCATCAGGGCGCGCCGCACCCGGAAGAGACGTGGCAGCGGAGGGATAATCGGGGCGGCCGGGGCTGAAGGGAGCGGAGCAAGATCCTTGGAGAGCGTGGTCCCTGCCCTTCCTCGCCTCGAAGCATCGCTGCCGCCCTTCGGAACTGGTGCAGCGGCCGATCAGTAAACACAGAGACTGGGGTCTGTAGAGAAGGGGCGGGGCTTGGAGGGGGTGGGGCTCAGGGGAGGCCTTGGGGGCGGGGCCGGTGGTATCGGGGAGTCGCTGATGGAGGGGCCTGGCCGGGGGCGGGATCCAGAAGGATTGAGGGGTCGCCGGAGGTGGGATTTATGCAGGGGGTGTTTCCCCGCATAAGGAGGAACAGTGGGCAGAAATCTTGGGTCGGGGCGAATAAGAGAGTGTCTGGGGGAGTTAAGAGTGGAAACTGGGCTGGTGAGAGCGTAGTGGTGGCCACCAGAACCTGGCTTCCTACCAACTCAGGTCCCTTTCCCAGGATCGATCATGGGGCTTTGTAAGTGCCCCAAGAGAAAGGTGACCAACCTGTTCTGCTTCGAACACCGGGTCAACGTCTGCGAGCACTGCCTGGTAGCCAATCACGCCAAGGTGGGGCCTTCAGGGGAGCGACTGAGCAGGGCACTGGGTGGGCAAGGCGGTATTGGCTTCCTCCAAATCAATGAGGGTCCCCGCGCTAGAATGTAAGCCCCACAAGGGCAAGGACTTGGTTTATTTTGTTCACTGATATATCCCCCGCCCCCAAGAGAGAGTCTGGCGCACAGTATGTGCTCAATAAATATTGATTGAACAAACAAAAGGATGAGTCTCCTCTGTGACTAGAGAAAAAGAGACTGTCAGACCTTGGGGTGATAGGCCGAGCAGCCCCAGCACCAGTTGTGACATCTCTCTCCCACTCCAGTGCATCGTCCAGTCCTACCTGCAATGGCTCCAAGATAGCGACTACAACCCCAATTGCCGCCTGTGCAACATACCCCTGGCCAGCCGAGAGACGACCCGCCTTGTCTGCTATGGTGAGGCCTTGGCACCTCGGGGGGATCAGGCCAGCCTCAGGGACCAGCTTGGTGACTGGTTTCCAGGCCCTCCTCAAGCAGCAGGACAGTGAGTCCCCCAAGTCTCAGAACCCAGATTCTAGTCATATTAAAGTTCCTTACCTGCTCTGTAAGTTCAGGCAAGTTATTCTTCCTTTCTAGGCCTCACTGTCTTTCCTAAAAATTAAAGCTCCTAGTTCCTCTTTCCTAAAAATTCAGACCTGCCAAGCTGGAGGTTTGAGCGAGAGCCAGTCAAGCTTATGTGTATGCTGGTGGCCGTGACTATCAGCTAGCCAGACCGGCATGTCGCTTTCAGATATTCAGGATCCACCACTGATTCCAAGTCTAAACAGAGAGGAAGTGAGTTTCCCACATTAAAGTTAGCTAAAAGAAGTCAGCAGACATATGTGTCATGACTTTGACCTGAATCTGGAGTAAGAGCCTTAGCTCCAGTTTTTGAAGGAGCTCATGCAAGAGGCAGCTCCATATATGTTTTTCCTTATGAGTGCGTGTGTGTACTTGCAGGCACTTAATGTACACTGTGTGTTTAAATGAGTGTTAGTGTGTTGATTAGTACTTGGGGGTGAATGAATGGGTAATGTATGTACGTAAACATATGAACACAGGTGTGTTGTGGGAGTACAAGAGAATGCATGGTTGAATGTGCCTGAGTGTTAGCAAACCTGTGAGTGTATAGATGTGTATGTGTGAGGGCTCCTGTGCCCATAGTGTAGATATAGTGAATGCTACTTGTGTTTGATTATGTGCTTATAAAGCATATGTACATGTGTGCCCAGGGATGTGTACATGCATATGTGTGCCTGTGTGTATATCAAGGAACCTTTTCTGAAACTGTTCATTATTAGCCATTAGCCCAAAGAGTATGATGAGTGCAGGCCCAGAGAGGACTCACTGAAAGGAGAGGTGGCGTTTCTTCCCACCCAAACTTACCCCTGTGAGCTGGACAGCTTGGTAGCACTGCCTGGACTTAGATGGTGATAGCCAAGAAGACTGATGTTTTAGGGAACAGGACGGGGAGGAGAAGGCTCTGGCACACACGTGTGTCCATATGTCCTGCAATGGTTTGGGGGCTATTGCTAGGCTAGGAGCCCTAAGTGTCTTCTTCCTCATGTCTCTTCTCCCCTGTCTCATGGGCCCTAAGATCTCTTTCACTGGGCCTGCCTCAATGAACGTGCTGCCCAGCTACCCCGAAACACGGCACCTGCCGGCTACCAGTGCCCCAGCTGCAATGGCCCCATCTTCCCCCCAACCAACCTGGCTGGCCCTGTGGCCTCCGCACTGAGAGAGAAGCTGGCCACGGTCAACTGGGCCCGGGCAGGACTGGGCCTCCCTCTGGTGAGAGTCCCTCTGTCTGTCTGACCATCCATCTGCCCTGGGCCCCACCTGAGCCAGATGGGTGGGGACAGTACTAGGCAGCCTGGTGACCCAGATTCCCTCCTCCAGATCGATGAGGTGGTGAGCCCAGAGCCCGAGCCCCTCAACACGTCTGACTTCTCTGACTGGTCTAGCTTTAATGGTAAGTGGTGGCTTCCACCGACTGTCTGGGCTTTAGCCTCCCTGCTCTGCTGACAGCTCCATTGGTCTACAGTCACATGCTCTACCCCTGAGCTCTACCCACTACTTCTGCTGATGGCTCTCTTTCCGCCCACAGCCAGCAGTACCCCTGGACCAGAGGAGGTAGACAGCGCCTCTGCTGCCCCAGCCTTCTACAGCCAGGCCCCCCGGCCCCCGGCTTCCCCAGGCCGGCCCGAGCAGCACACAGTGATCCACATGGGCAATCCTGAGCCCTTAACTCATGGTGAGCCTGGGAGTGACCCAGGCCGCGGAAGGATAGAAAGAGGGTGGTGGAGTGGTTTGTGTACGGGGAGCTTGAGGATCCAGAGAGAGACCCACCTGGAGGAACCTGTCCTCAATCCAGGCACAGCCATTACCCCCGCACGATTCTGAGATGCTCTGTCAGACTGAGGAGGGCAGGTGATCCCCCTAGCCCTCCCCAAAGCGGCCAGTTTTCCTGAGTCTATTGGTGCTAGTGGCTCCACCCTGTAGCCCCTAGGAAGGTGTATGATACGCGGGATGATGACCGGACACCAGGCCTCCATGGAGACTGTGACGATGACAAGTACCGACGCCGGCCTGCCTTGGGTTGGCTGGCCCAGCTGCTAAGGTACACAGGGTCAGGCGGGCGGAATGCCGGGAAGGGGTGGAGAGGGAGTGGGAACCAGAGGCCCTGGGAGGGACAGTTTCATAACCAAAGGGGCTCGTTCTGGGGAGTGACAGTACCTGGTGCTGGGGTGTGCAGAGGCCTTGGCTGTGCAGCAGAAGCTGTGGTTTGCTTCTCTCTGGGGCTGTCTCAGTGCCTCCTACACAGGAGGTTTGGACTCAGGCTCTTTGAGGCCCCTTCCTGAACTGACACCCCCTAATCTTTGTAACTCTCCCCGACGCCTGACACGTTGTAGTTTCCAGAACACAGTCGTGTGCCTCAGCTGGTCTGAGCTGCACAATAAGGCCCTATGGTGGCAAGTGCAGGAGTGATCATCTCTGAGGCACAGATGAGGAGATGGAGGTTCAGGAATGGGTGGTGACCGGGGCTTCTCTCTAGGCCGTGGGGGCCACCAGGGATTGGGGCCTGACCTGATTTTCCCCTCATCCCCCCAGGAGCCGGGCCGGGTCTCGGAAGCGACCGCTGACCCTGCTCCAGCGGGCAGGGCTGCTGCTACTCCTGGGATTGCTGGGCTTTCTGGCCCTCCTTGCCCTCATGTCTCGCCTAGGCCGGGCCGCAGCAGACAGCGACCCCAACCTGGACCCACTCATGAACCCTCACATCCGCGTGGGCCCCTCCTGAGCCCCCTTGCTTGTGGCTAGGCCAGCCTAGGACTTGGGTCCTGTGGAGGAGAGGCGGCGTAATGGGGAGGCTGGGGGCACCTCTTCACTGCCCCTCTCCGTCAAGCCTAAGACACTAAGACCCCGGACCCAAAGCCGAGTCCACCAGAGTGGTTGCAGGACGGGCCTGGAGTCCCCGCGGGTCAAGCATTTGTCTTGACTTGCTTTCCTCCCGGGTCTCCAGCCTCCCACCCCTTGCCCCATGAAGGAGCTGGCAGGTGGAAATAAACAACAACTTTATTAAAACACCCGAGGCAGCCTTTTCGTTCAGCCTCCTCAGCCCTGTTCCGACTCCCCAGGCCTCAGTGGTTCTCCTCCCGGTACTCGATGGCCAGAAAGTCCAAGGACAGGCGGTTGAAGAACATGGCTCCGTTGAGCACTGGGTGGAGGAGAGAGCCCCCCATGAGCCCCAGTACCCTTCCCTGGCTACTCCTTGCCATATCTCAGGGTTCCAAAGCTCCCCGCTCCCCCTTGCACCCTCCCCCTCCCGCCACTCACTCAGGATGGTCAGGGCAGAGCAGCGGATGTACTTGTTTTCTGTCATCTCAGCATAGAGTGACCCCATGGCAGCCCAGCAGATGCTGATCACCTGGGAGAACTGTAGGCCCATCTAGTGGGAGAGTGGCCCCCTGACACAACAGTGGGGTTTCCATCAGCCCCCCGGGCCTCCCGCAGCCAGCCCTTGCGTCCCTGCCCCGAGCCTACCATCAGGACGACCGTGTAGTGAAAGCTCATGCGTTCGTAGTGGTGGGTGATGCAGAAGTTGTGCACGTCGCTGATGAAGATGCCCAGGTGTAAGAAGAAGAGCATCAGTGCAGCCGTGGTGAGCATCATGCCTTTTGGGAAGAAGAATGTGGCGATGCGGTCTCGCAGCCGCATCTTGCCCACAGAGTAGATGCAAGTCAGACTTGAGAGCTGGAGCAAGCAGGCCCTGCCCAGGAAAAGCAGCAGTCTCTGGTTCTAGAGTGCCTGGTATGGAATAGCAGTGGGATTCTAGAACCAGGAGGACAGTGGAGGGGACAAGATTCTAGAACACAGGCTGATTCCAGCCAACACAGGACTGCCTCACAGGTGGTAGGGGTGCTCTGAATTGTGAGATCAGTGGGGGCCCATAAGGCGAAGGGGCAGCAGCCCTAGTTGTCCCATACTCACTCTAGACACTTTTGTGCACATCTCAATTTTCCCACAATGGAGGCAGCGTGAACACAGTCTACAGATGAAGAACTGGGGCTCAGAAAAGTTGAGGGGTGTGGTCTAGATTCACAGCAAGTTTTAGGCAGATGAGAGATTAGGACCCACCTGCATAGCTGGAAGGCATTCCCAGGTGAGGGGAGGCCTGGGGTGAATCCCAGGTTCCAAGTATTTGCTCTACCCTCTGGTGGAAAGGAATTACGAGAAGGAAAGATATCAACAGATTCTTCAGAGCTGTCCCGGGATCTTCCCCGTGCCCTTCCCAGTGTGGCCCAGAGGGCACCTGGCTTTACCATTCTCTCCCCAGATGTTCTTACAGGACCCAATGCTGGTCAGCTTTCCTCTCTGCCACCTTCAGGTGCTTGGAGCATTTTCACCTCCATCCGTCCAAGAGTCCCATGAGACAGCTGGGGCTGGTGGCATAAATCCTATTTGACAATTGAGTCTGAGGCAGAAAGGATGGTCTTCCTCAAGTTGTCATGGCCAGTAAGGGAGGGAGTCAGGACTGCAACTAAGATCTGATACTACCTGAGGCTGTGCTGAGCGAGCAGGGTCAGATGCAAGCCAGAAGGAAAACATTTCCCCCATGCATGTAAGAGATGAGAACGAGGCTGGGGGTGGTAGCTCACACCTGCAACCCCAGCACTTTCAGAGGCCCAGGTGGGAGGATTGCCTTGGGCCAAGAGTTCAAGACCAGCTTGGGAGACAGCAAGACCCCATCTCTCTTTTTTTTTTTGAGACAGTTTCACTCTCGTTGCCCAGGCTGGAGGGCAATGGCGTGATCTCAGCTCCCCGCAACCTCTGCCTCCTGGATTCAAGCAATTCTCCTGCCTCAGCCTCCCGAGTAGCTGGGATTACAGGCATGCACCACCAAGCCCAGCTAATTTTGTATTTTTAGTGGAGATGGGGTTTCTCCATGTTGGTCAGGCTGATCTTGAACTCCCAGCCTCAGGTGATCTGCCCACCTTGGCCTACCAAAGTGCTGGGATTACAGGCGTGAGCCACCACTCCTGTCCAGCAAGACCCCATCTCTTAAAAAAAAAAAATTGCTGAGTGTGCTGGTGCGTGTCTTTAGTCCCAGCTACTCAGGAGGCTGAGATGGGAGGATTGCTGGAGCCCAGGAGTCCCAGGCTGCAGTGAACTATGATCATGCCACTGTACTCCAATCTGGGTGACACAGAAAAAAAGAAAGGAAAAGAAAAAAAACAAAGGTGAGCACTCCAAGGCCGTCAACAAAATATGCCAGAAAAACAGCCAGAAATGGTATAGAGTGAGATGACAGCTCCCAGGGATTGAAGCAGGAGAAGAGGAGGGAGGAGTACAGGACTTGATGTTGAACTCAGCCACCCCACTGCCTCCTGCCCAACTGTTTGCCCCAAAAGTTAGGTCCCAGGTCAGCCCAAGACCCACAGGCTGCCTCCCAGCAGTGGGATTAGAGCCTGCACCCGCCGCCTGTGCTTGCTGGCCAGTCTCCAGACGAGCACAATAGTTCTTCAGAGCCCCATCCTAACCACATGAAAGGGGTGATGCCCCAAGGCCCAGCTGTGGTCCCACTGTTGAAACAATTGTTTGTGCCTCAGCCCTTATTTGAATACAAATGAACTTTTATACATAAAAGTTCCTAGCTCCTAATTCTATTTATTTTTGAGACAGAGTCTCACTCTATCGCCAGGACTGGAGTGCAGTGGCGGGATCTCAGCTCACTGCAACCTCCGCCTCCCGGGTTCAAGTGATTCTCCTGCCTCAGCCTCCTGAGTAGCTGGGATTATAGGCATGTGCCACCATGCCCAGCTCTTTTTTTTTTTTTTTTTTTTTTTAAGACGGAGCTTCTCTGTGCCCGGCTGGAGTGCCAACTCGCCCCAGCTCGCCCCGCCCCATCCCCCTCAGCCTCCACCACGCCCCACCTCGCCCTGTTTTTTTTTTTTTAGACGGTTCACCGGTTGCCAATGCTCGTCTCCTGACTCGTATCCGCCTCTCGCCCCAAGGCTGGAACAGCTGCCACCGCGCCGCCTTTTTTTTTTTTTAGCAGCTTCTCTTTGCAGGCTGGAGGCAATGGCCATCTCTCACACCTATGCCTCCTGGGTTCAAGCAATTCTCCTGCCTCAGCCTCCCGAGTAGCTGGAACTACAGGCATGTGCCACCAAGCCCAGCTAATTTTGTATTTTTAGTAGAGACGGGGTTTCTCTATGGTGGTGAGGCTGTTCTCGAACTCCCGACCTCAGGTGATATGCCCACCCTGATCTCCCAAAATGCTGGCATTACACACGTGAGCCACCACGACCTGCCTGGATGATTTTTCTTAACACTATTCTCCAACTTTTAAAAACGTTTATAGACTTCTTTGAGTAGGCCTCAATCTATACCCTTTTTCATGTTCTTAAGATTATAGTTTCATAGGCTGAAATCAAGTATTTTAAATGGTTTCTAGACATCCCATTGATTCAGAGGTCAGCAAACTTTTTCTGTAAAATAGTAAATATTTTAGGTTTGGAGGACCATGCAGTCTCTGTGGTAGCTACTCAACTCTGCTCTATTTTTTTGTTTTTTGTTTTTTTTGAGATGAAGTTTTGCTCTTGTCACCCAGGCTGGACTCACTGCAACCTCCGCCTCCTGGGTTCAAGCGAGTCTCCCACCTCAGCCTTCCGAGTAGCTGGGACTACAGGTGAACTCTTCACCTTTGTGCACAGCTGCACTTTTGTCCAAGTCAGAACCCTGGGAGAGCAGCTCAGGAGGCTGAGGTGGGAGGGGAGGTCAAGGCTGCAGTGAGCCGAAGACAGCACCACACTGCACTCCAGCCTGGATGACAGAGCAAAACCCTGTCTCAAAACAAACAAACAAACAAACAAACAAAAAACAGGAAAAGAGAACCCTGAGAGTTATCCTCCACATTTCCACCCAGCCCTTCACTCAGCACATTCCATCAGTCAGTCACATAAGCTCTGCTGAGTCTGTCCTTTTTTTTTTTTTTTCCAATAATAGAGGGGGCGGGTCTCACTATGTTGTCCAGGCTGGTATTGACCTCCTGGGCTCAATCAGGTCTCCCACCTCCGCCTTCCAAAGTGCTGGGATTACGGGCGTGAGCCACTGTGCCCAGCCTTACGGGTTCTTAAATGTGAGTGTGTATCAGAACTACTTGAACTATTTGGGAACTTTCTAAAAAGAAGCTAGACCTGGGTGAACCCCAGAGTCTTTTTTTTTTTTCTTTCTCTGTCACCCAGGCTGGAGTGCAGTGGCACCATCAGGGCTCAAGCAATTCCCCCATCTCAGACTCCCGAGCAGCTGGGACTACAGGCGCGCGCCACCATGCCTGGCTAATTTTTGTATTTTTAATAGAGACGGGGTTTCACCATAATGGCCAGGCTGATCTCGAACTCCTGACTTTGTGATCCGCCCGCCTCGGCCTCCCTAAGTGCTGGGATTACAGGCGTGTGCCACCGCGCCCGGCCTGTATTTTTTTAATAGAGACGGAGTTTCGCCATTTTGCCCAGGCTGGTCTCGAACTCTTGGGCTCAAGCAATCCACCCGCCTCTGCCTCCCAAGCGCTGGGATTACGGGAGTGCCTCGCGCAGCTCAGCGCAGAGACTTATAATGCGCCACAGATAGTCCTAAAGGCAATTCTGATGCACGTCAGAGGACCAGGCCCTAAGTAGAACTGCGCTAGAGGCACAGTACAGAATAGTGTACATGCATTTAATCCTCGTAGCCCCCTTGTGAAGTATGTACCCCAATTTTAGGAATGGGATAAACTGAGCCACTGCCCAGGTCTCGAGACAGTGGCGGGATCCCAGGAACACTCTACTCTGGCCTCACGTCCCACATCCGTCCATTGTGTCTGGGCACATATTCCGTGGGCCGCTTGCCTGCGGGAGTGCAGGTTTGGGAGCCACTACCCGTCCCCGTTCTGGGAGAGCAGCAACCCCAGGCAGTTGCACAAAATGCTTCCACCTAGGAAACTGGGGGAATTCAGGACTCTAGCGGAACCTTTGCAACCGGGGAAGACAGGTGCGGGGGAACTCTAGTCTCGAAGGACCTAGGGCTGCAGGGGGACGTTTCACCTGAAGGACTGCCTCGTTTCAACAACAACTTTATGGCTCCCGGAAGTGCCTCCTCCCCGTCCCCTTCCTTCCCAGCCTCACGCCCGTGGGCTGCAGTTGGAGCGATGGCGGCAGCAGCTGCCGCCGGGCCTAGCCCGGGGTCTAGACCTGGGGACTCCCCAGAAGGGCCCGAGGGGGAGGCTCCGGAGCGTCGGCGGAAGGCGCACGGGATGCTGAAGCTTTATTACGGCCTCTCGGAAGGGGAGGCAGCGGGACGCCCTGCGGGGCCCGACCCCCTGGACCCGACTGACCTGAACGGGGCGCACTTCGACCCGGAAGTTTACCTAGACAAGGTGTGTGTGCGGGGAGCGGGGGATGCGGGGAGGGGGGAAGGGCACCAGGCCCGTGATATATTGCTCCCCCAGATCATGCCTCCGACTTTTTGTGAGGTTGAGGGGAGCAGGGGTTCATAAGAGGACGAGCCTCGGCCGGGGAGTACGAGCAGCTCAGGCGTCTGAGGTGATATGAATAGGACTGGACTGGCCTAAGGTGATGCGGCAGCTGAGGTCTCCTGGGCTGATGTGATAGGCCCCGGATTGGGGGCGTGGCCCAAGCGTTGACAGGCGCGGGGCTGGGCTTAGGCCGAGCCCCAGGATTTCAAATGCTGACAAACACCAAACAGGGTTGAACCTAGTAACCCCTGAGCTAGGCCACGTAGGGCCCCATGCCTGGGATTCCTGAGAGCCGGCGGGGGTTTGGGGGGTGGGGTGGGGATCAGAGATTTCTTGCACTGAAAGCCTATCAGCTGCGGGCAAGGCTGAGGGACATGAGTGCCTCCTGACCCGAACACTAACCACCCAACTTCTTCAGCTGCGTAGGGAGTGCCCTCTGGCCCAGCTGATGGACAGTGAGACCGACATGGTGCGGCAGATCCGGGCTCTAGACAGCGACATGCAGACCCTGGTCTATGAGAACTACAACAAGTTCATCTCAGCCACAGGTGATCCCCACGGGGACACACGCTCCAAAGTCTCACAGCCTCCATTCTCCCACCTGTGTTGGGAAAACCAGCAAGGGATTTAGAGGGGGGAGACTCAGATTCCAGTCTTGCCCTGGCATTATTCCATTCTCACCTCCTTCCCTTTGAGCCTTCGTTGTCAGACTACTGTAGAGATAATAGCTGCTCTCAGAGAGTTGTCTTAAGTACCAAAGGAGAGAAAAGACAAAAGGAGATTATTTGTTTATTTTTTAGAGACAATGTCTTGTTCTGTCTCCCAGGCTGGAGGGCAGTAGCATGATCATGGCTTACTGCAGCCTGGACATCCCAGGCTCATGTGATACTTCTGGATCCTCCCAAAGCACTGGGATTATGGGTGTGAATCCCTGGCCCAGCCCAAAGTGAAATTTTAAAATGAAATGTATTTATCTGAAGCACTTAAAAGGCCAGGTATGGTGGCTCATACCTGTAATCCTAGCGCTTTGGGAGGCTGAAGTGGGAGGATCACTTGAGCCTAAGAGTTTAAGATTGACCTGGGAAATACAGTGGGACTCCATCTCTACAAAAAAATAAAATATAAAAATTAGCCGGACATGATGGTGTATGCCTGTAGTCCCAGCTACTCAGGAGACTGAGGAGGGAGGATCACATGAGCCTGGTAGATGGA